CCTTCTAGATGATTACTAATCCCTAGATTGGGGTGGCAACATGCCATTTGTGCCTTCTAGAACTTCCACTTTCCACTAAGTCAACATTAAACTTAGTCTACCCAATAGAGTACTCCTTACTTTAGTCAAACCAATCAAAACTAATCATGAAGTCCAAAAGTATTTTCTCTTGGAATCTAGACTTTTGTACAAGACAAAATAGAAGTGCTCACTCATATCTTCTAGAACTTCTCTAGTTATTCCACCAAGTATAGACATTATAACTAAACTAGCTAGACTTACTCATAACTATCCGCCATGATTAACTCCTTGGCTAATTCTACTTCTAGTTCACACATACAACATCAGGTCTTATAGAGCAAAGGGCAAAGATCTTAGAGATACAACGACGTCAGCAGGAGATTGCAGAACTGCACAAAGTTGGATCGAACAACCTTTCTAACAGTCAGCTGGTGCGACTGGATTGGCTAGAAACAAAGAAGAGGTTGAGGGAGCATGAAAGAGACATGGAAATACGTCTCTGATCTCGAGTGAAACACCTCGGGCTGGGAGACGCCCCGTCCAAATACTTTTTTAACATACACCGACAGAACACCGTCCGAGCGCAAATTTTGCAGCTCAAACTACCTTTGAGAGAGGAAACTAGAGACCAGGCAAAAATCCTATGTGCGATAGAGAGGTACTAATCAGACCTGCACATTGCTAAGACGGAAAGCGCGGAGGTGCAAACAACAAGAACGACATTCATGGGACAGGTAATCGACAAACTTACTGATGCGGACCGACACATGTTAGCCGCACAATTTTCGGAGTCGGAAATAGAAGAAGTTCTTTTCTCGATCCCGGCTAAAAAAGCTCCAGGTGTAGACGGAGTTTTGGCTGAAGCGTTGCGCAAAACCTGGTCAATGGTGAAGCCGTTTTACGCAGCCATGGTTCAAGCATATTGGAAGGATGGCATCCTTGCAAAATTTGTGCTAGAAGGCATGATCAAGCTCATTTCTAAATCAATGAACAGAGCTGAACTTAAAGATTGACGGCCGCTGACAATGCTGAACACAGATTACAAAATCATTGCAAAATTCCTGGCATACAGGTTGGAGCTACTTCTCCCCCGTGTTATTCTTCCGCAACAAATAGGCTTCGTCAAAGGCAGGAACATGCTCGACAACGTACTGACTCTGTGCATGGTTCAAGACGCAGCTAAAGTAAGTAAAAGTTACGACATGTTTGTCAAGTTGGACTTTGAGAAGGCCTACGACCGGGTCAAACATGCTTACCTGTGGAAAACCATGTGAGCCTGGGAGAAAACTTCATCACTCTAGTCCAAGGACTGACGCAAGGGGCATCGACGGCAATACACATCAACGGGGCTAAAACCTACAGGTTTTTGGTGGGAAGGGAAATTCGGCAAGGATGCCCCCTGGCACCTCTCCTCTTTGTTTTAGCAACGCAGCCACTTATGACAGAGTTGAAGATCAACTTTGAACTAGGAAAACTAAGAGGGTTCAAAATTGGTGAGATGTTAATTCTTGACTACTCCCTTTTTGCTGACAATATGGTTGTGATCCTTGATAACTCTTATACTTCGTTTCAAGAACTACGGGGGAGTCTAGCGAAATACGAAGTGAGTAGTGGAGCACGCTTGAACCTCATTAAGTCATCCATCTTGCTGCTGGGGATGGACAAACCGCCACATTGGCTCACGCATGTAGGATGCCCCTGATGGAGCCGGGCCAAATCAACAAATACCTAGGGGCCTCGTTAGGGAACAATATCACAAAGCAGCAACAAGATGACTTTTGCACTCACAAAATATCAAAAAGGCTAGGAGTTTGGGAGACCAATCTCCTATCATTTGAGACAAGTACCATTCTCATACAGTTTGTTCTCCAAGCGCAACCAACCTTCTATTCGTCCCTTATCAAGCTATCAGCAAAAACCTGCAGGAAGGTAGAACAGTTGTACCGTCAATTCTTATTGGGGTACAACAAGGAAGGAAAGGCAAAAAAATCTCTGATTCAGTGAGACATACTGTGGAGGCTAAAAAGAGAAGGAGGCCTAGGCATCAGAAGTGTTTTGGATACAAATGCTTCCATGATGGGGAAGTGGGTAGGTTCCATTTTGGATGAGAAAGCAGGAAACTGGGGGTCTGCACTTCAGGAAATAATAGCCACCTGTAGAGCAAAATATAGCAAAAATGTAGTGAGAGGGCACTTCATGTTACCGGAGCTGATTCTAACGAATCAGCCCCTCAGGTTGTTTGGAACCGACATGGAAACTGCGCTATTGAACTGTTGGAGTTCAATCCAGAAGGATATCACATGGGACCAGGAAGACGCTCAGATCCCTAAACGCATTACGCTTATGGACATGGTAAGGCTAACACTGGGACACTCCCCAAAGTTGCTAAGCGAGACAAAAGTAGTCATGGCAGAATTCAGAAATCTGAAGATTACACAAACTGAAGTACTTTGGGGCAGACGTTATCTCCTGTAGTAGCAGTATGTCCCGGGCACCGAAAATGAGAGGAAGAGAGCGGAAAAATACCCGGTGCATGTGTTCTTTGCGAAAATACTTCGAGCCAACGGGATTGATGAAGCCCCCCTGTAAGACATTGTAGGGTGGAAAATCAGGAATAAACGGATGAACGGAAACTTCACGGAGGCAGCCCGTAGCTAGTACAGAAGGCGTCAAAAACACACAAACCTAGGGTCACACTTAAATCGCAAATGAAACAACATCAAAACTTCAGTGGAATGGGAAAATACCTTTGAAAATTTATGGGAAAGCAGAAACGTCAACAGAGACAAAATGTTCATGTGGCAAGTTTTGCAACACGCCTTCTACACCAACGAACGTGTGCTGAAACTCGGGCAGGGCGACGGCAAGTGTCCTCGAGGGTGCAACAACAAGCATTCGATCCAACACCTACTATTTGACCGTCAGTTTGCAAGAAACGTTTGAAAGGCAACGGCTGGATTGAAGTGGAGGACAGATCAGCAGGTCAACATTTTTGACCAAGCATCGTTGCTTTTGCACCTGATCGACATGGGAATAAGCAAGACAAAGGCCTCCTCTGTTTCTGCTCAATGGATGCTAACCAGCGCATTGTGCAAACATATTTGGCTGAACCGAAACCAGAAGGTGTTCTCAAACGTTGTAAGACAAAGAAAATATTCACGGAAGAGTGCATAACACCATTGACAAGGCGATTTCCTAGTGGCAAGAAACTACTATCTCTCCTCCACCAAAACACTGGCTAAAATGGAGACGACGCTGCAGACAACAATTGCGACAACAATGACGACAAGAATCGAACGCTGGCTAAGGAGAACATTAGATAAAACACACTATTCAGAAGGGTCGTCAGAAGCTCTCCATACTACGGGAGCAGCGATCGACCCCGATCTGTCACCCTCCCCTTTCCAAGGGTTGGGTGGCTCATATTAGTGGCAAATTTGTGGATGACAGACAATGGAAACGCGGGCGGGTGGTGCTTTTGAGTGACGCCCTTTCGCTTCTGTCCATGGTCTGTTTGCTGGCCTGTGCTGGGCCGTTCCAGCACCCTGCCCCTTCCCATCTATTCCGTGCTTCTTTCTTTCTGTGGCACTAGGTTTGTGCGCTTTGGGCCTGAAATATGATCTCCCATTGTCACTGTGGTTGTCACCAGAGTTTAAACCTTAACAAAACTATTTATACTAATCCAAGTATATGTAACTTCACTCTACACAACCCAAAAGACAACGAAATCTGCATCTGAGTAGCACAATACAAATATTAGATCTAAAGAGGAACAATCACAATGTATAGACTTCAACTGATTGAGATGATATATTTTGAATAAAGTTAATGATAACTCTTATGTCTGTTTGTGACCTATAAATTCAATACTTTCCCACTTTTGAATTTACATGTGATTATTGGTAATACATATTTTCTCCATATTTGCCTCAGCATTTAAGTAATTTTTTTTGCTCGTTTGGGTCTCAAACCCCAAATATTATCGACGATGTATCGTGCTTGAGCATGCGGAGGTTTGCCAGAATCTGGTTATTTCCGATATTCACTCGGTATATGACTAATTTTAAAATATTGAATATATCTAATTTGCTCATGTATAGTCTGCACAATACTTTGACTTTTGATATGACCAGACGTTTAACTAATACAAAGCTCATGTGTACAGTATCATGAGATATGTAGAAATTATAATTTGTGTGTATGCATATCTTATTTTGGAAATCTTAGACATTTAAATGTAAAAAGAATCTTCATCTATCTTCCAAATTTTTTCCATACAGATAAAACGAAGTTCTACAATAAGTCAAAAATACAATCAAAGATAAGTATATCTTGTTATTTTGCATATCTTTATCTTTTAGAATTTGGAAAATTAGCATAAATCTTCTTAAGGTGGTGATTGACAGTTCCAGATTTTCTCTACGTATTTTTTGAATAATAAAAAAATATGACTTGTTATTTAGAAAAAAAAAACTTAGCCTCAATACATGAAATATATATATAAACTACATGCATCTATTATTTAAAATTTATACCTATATCAGCTTTCTTTGGATATATGTTATATCTGACTCTGAGAAAGATGAAGAGTTTATCAATCACTTTTTGGATAATTGTATCCTTTAAAACGTGGATATATATTACCTTTTAATACACTAATATCACTGTAATTTATTTAATTCAGATGTTGCGTCCTTTTTTGGTTATCAGAGATTTCCAACTGTTGTGAACAAATGTTTTTTAATCAAACATTCGAATCTCACGGAGACTCAGACACCCTATAGTTTTAAGATTGGATTTGAAAATATGATTTTCAAGTGGATAAACATCATACCCACCATGAAAAGCTACTCCTTCAAAACTTGACCCGTGCAAGTTACAGCAGAAACTTTATACTTTTTGTAATTCAATGAATCTGCCGTTTTTTTTTGTTTCACGGCAGCTGTGACATGAACACTGTAATTCATCTCCATGGCAGACAAGATATGATATTTAATATCATATGGTTCAATATCAAACCAACAATAGTAAATTATAGAACAAATCTATCTCAAACTACAATGCAGGCTCGTGTTTTTTCTTATTTTATTTTTCCTCGTAATGATGACCACCTACGAGGACAACGCTGAATGCTGAAAAACAAATTAAGTACTAGCCTATGACGTGAAGATAACCCACTGATCCGAGCCCAACTGTAGCGTTAGGTGGGGAGGAGTTTATTGGGCTGGCAATGAATTCTTCTCTTACAAGTCCAAGCCGGCCATGGATGCTAGCCTCGCTAGAGGCTAAACGATAGTTACTTTCAAATTGTGCAAAGTTCTCCACAATTTCCAGTTTTGTTTTCAACAACTACACCAATCTATTCAAGCATGGGGGTTTCTTATTTGAACTCTCAGATATCTAAATTATTGCTGGAGTTATCATGTACTACAGTTTGGACTGATGGTCTCACCTCAATCAAAGAACAAAGCAAAGAAAATTTTATAAAATACCGCAGTCCAGTTTTATTGCATTCACATGAAAACCTGCAGGTCTGGAGTTTTGGATCTTGCAGTGGAATATAATTAAACTCTTGCAGGGATCAGATCCAATGCCGAAACTGACAATGCCACATTCTACTGCCTCTTGTTGATCAATCTCTTCTGAAGTCGGTACGTCTCCATAAGTATCAATGCTTGCACGAACGATCTCCTGGATTATCTACAGAATGTACACAATTCCAACGTCAGTACTAAGGCATGTTCTCTTCGATGATCGGAGGCCAGATACACAGTCATAGAATCTGCGTTATGTAATCACACGAGCTGCGATTTCAAACAGCATTAAGTTCTTGGAGCGGATGAATCATTTGCCCGAGTCGAAATCTGAAACTTTGCCTTCTTGCCTAGTCTGTTCGAATCCGAGTCCAATGAACATACAGACACTTGGGCGCTAATATCCTATTACACCAGTCTCCTGTTCACAGGGATATTCATGCATTTTGTGCTGATCTGTTTTTTCTCTCCATTTACAGATGCAAGAGAAGAATATTGCCAGCTAGGTATGTCGATGTTTTTCTGCGAGTAATATATTGGTCCTAAGACTAGTTTACTCCTCATCTGCTCTTAGTGTCCGTATACATTTAAGGAGCCACCTAGCAAGCAATTCATGTTAAACAAACACGCCAGCGTTCAGTACTAGCTTCGCAAGGAACTCTGGAAATGGATTACAATCTTACCACCACCACATGGACTATACACGGCCGATAGCATTCGAGGTCCCTTTTTCCTCGAGGTTTTGCCCTTGTGCTGTTCTTCCACATCTTTGTAGGGGGTTGGGTGCCTGGTGCTTGCCACTCTTGGAGAGAGGTGCATGAGTTGCTTCTTCACGAATTCTTCTGGACTGAGATCTGCAAACTGGTTCATAGTCATTTTGTAGGTCGACTGTTTCCGGTTATGTTCAGAAGCACGCATAAAATTCTCTTCGAAGTTCTTGAAGCGGGCAGTCTTGTCAGCATCACTGGCATAAGTCTTTGAGTATTTTTTCATCCACTCGTCAAACAAGCTCTGCATTTCAGTTTTTGATGGAAAGTCTGGAGCTTTGGGACTCGGTTCTCCTTTAAGCTCACGAGAGGCAGCTCCGTGTACTGTGAGGCACACTGTCATCAGTGTGATCACAACAACGAACGGTAGGACGCTTCTTCCCATCGTAAATCCTTCAAGGAATAAGCTGGTAGTGGCAGCGCCAGCCAGAGAAGTAGTCAGAATATAACTTTTACTACATATATGCACAAGAAACATAAACAATTTCTTACTGAAAACCACAAATGTACACAATTGTTGTGGACGACCTTTGGTAAAACGGTGAGTTGAACTTCTGTCTCGGATTAGTTGATAACAGCCTCGTACACAAGCGTTTATTTCTAACTACATTTTCGTGATCATGTTGTGCCTAAAAATGTACCTCCAGCAGCTGCAGCCTCATCATGTAAAACAGAATGAAGAATTTTTAGGATGGATTTCACGTGAAAACCTTGCATGTAGTCTTGGCCAATCGCAGTTATCGTTGAGCTAGAGTTATCTAGATGTACATGAATATTAGGCCTACTGCTGCCAGAAATTTCTTCAAAGTGCTTAAGTCGAAATTGGCAAACTGTGGTCTATATCTTTATCTGTGTTGTTGTACATTCTTATACTCGTGTATCCACTTGCAAGTCCATGAGTTGAGAGCATAAGTTGTTTCGATATCAATGCAGCTCATATTCGTAGTCAAACGTACATGCTGTAGCAGGACCAACGTTGTGTACAGTGCTCATCTGTAATTCAAATCAGCGCGATGTTTTGACGAAGGAAAAATGTAGACGCATAATATGCTCCGTAGAGTATGTTGCAATCGTGTGGACTTTCTTCGAACACCTTTTGGATAAGACTTTCGAGAATATAATTAATACGAGTGCGAGTGTGTATAGCACTAAACTTTTCCGAGAAACTTCTTCAGGACTCAATCTGCTGACTCTGGACCCAGAGTCGCAGGATTGAGTAGATTGAGTATATGACTAGAGGTCTTCTTTAGAGGTCTGGCATAGAAGTCAAGCTGGAGACCGACCATATCAGTGTATGCCGAAGTCCGAAGCAGGAGCCGTATTCCGAGCTGAATCGGTTTGATTTCTGACCAATTGTAGAAGGAACGGACTGTTAACAACATGGCCACATATATCCCCAAATTCTGGTCATTCCACTTGAAAGTTCAACGCTTGATCATGGTCTTAAACTCGTGTTTTGAGTCGTTCTATTTGCGATTAATACATCGTGTTACTCATACACTGCTACTCGAACTACATCCACTAACTTTTTTGAGCAACATCCCTTTAGCTTCTAGAATTTGCATATGATGTCACATGGATGCCGGCGAGCTAATCTGACTGATGTGCAATATATTTTTATCAAGCTCTCGAACACTGTTCGGAGATCTCATCTTTTTAACCGATCCATTGAACCGAGTCAGACAGTTATCTGTCAGCTTGTAGGGGATCCATCTACTGTCTCTAACACATTGGTCCTACAGACCTATAGATTCAGAACTGAGGATTATGCGCAGGGCGGTACAGCATACAGCGACTGTCTTAGACATCGAAGACCAGGGCAATAAATAAGACGTCTTTCGGACTCCATCGGCTGACATTCATTGGCTGGTTAGGAGTACAGAGTCTTATACTGGACTGAAGAACCGACTTTACGCTGCGTAAGCTGTCTTCAAAGACATGTTGTGTACGCTGCTGTACGGCCACCTGTTCGTAAACTGCAGTCTTAATTGAAATCTTCACGAGAGTTCAGCTACTAAAGTTACAGAAATCTTTTCGATTGCACCTTAAATATCTATTCTTGCCAACATGTTACGTGATTTTATTTATAAAAAATTAAAAGAATTTCTTCGATTTAAAATTCCTCTCATAGAGTCATGACAAATTGTTCCAAGGAATGGTCTCTGACGTACATCTTAAGAACTTTCGTTATCAAAAGATGTAACTCAAAAGCATACATTCCATATTCAGGTCGTTTAAGCACAGTGAAATCCACAGTGAAATCGTTCTCATCTCCACAACAAGAGAAGTTTTCTCCAAGTCAGACGTATGGGGATGTGAGCGCAGTTGACTGTTGCGTGTGGCGCGGTAAAAGGTACTTTGAATATTGTCAATGATCGCATAATATACTCAATTTTTTAACAGGTTTGTGGTCTAGTGATGGGCTGCCAGTGGGCATTCTCTCGTTATGAGAGATTTATGGTCAAGATGACCAACGAGATTTGAAGGTGAAGTCTGAAGTCAAGAGCTCCTGCATGCTACTACGTGACAGTACATGCTACTCCTGTATATCCTTCGTGCAGGAGTGAATGGGCGAAATTTGTGTGCATCAAATCTTGGCAGACAGTCCACTATGTACCTGTTACATGTGAAAGTAGGTTGCATCTCCCATGAATACTGCATCTAAGTCTCCACATTCCTTTGAAGGTGGAGAAGGGATAATCAAGCTGGTGGAGCTCCTACATGCTACCACTGTATGTATTGCGGCCTAGCGTTAGCAGGTTGAATTCGTCTGCATCACACCTTTCCATTCTTTGGGAAGAAATCTTTCCACTGTTGTGATTCTCCCGAAACGTGTGAAAATCGGCTTCATCTTCCATGAATCCTGCTGAAGATCTCGCACATGCTTTTTCTCAACCTTTGAATGATGTAACATATGCCTTTCAACAACGATACAGTGGGCTGACGGTCAAGCCCTTTGATTGAAGACCACTCCAACGAGTTGTAAGGGATTTGATGTATTTTCTCAAAAAGTGCGTTCCTGTATTCTAATTTTTCCATGGAACAACATGCCATCAGATTTAAGGTGCGCCACGTGCTTGAAAGAGGTAAAATACTGTCCGATATGAAAACTTTGATTGTTTTCCGTGTCTGATGGGCAAATACGAATTCCGCCGCCACGATGACGAAATGTCCAATGCATGTACGACTGGAAGATAATACTTGAGTACTCGGTGTGGATCCCTGATGAGTCCAGTTGGTGCTTTATCACATACAAATAGGACCAGATATCCTCTCAAGATAAATATTTTGAGAGGAATGAATAAATCCAATCATAATGAACTAGGTCGCTTAGGGTCTGAGACTAAACTCACCAGCTCCTCATGAAGTTGTCGTTCCACTTCTATTCTGCATTAATCTTCTTGCTTTCTCTATGTGATCTTCTCTTCACGCTGCACACAGCATTTCAGACAAGCCATAAAATGTGAGGAGGTATTTCTTTGAATTCTGTGTGTACTAGACCGTACTATACTCAATAACAGACTGTAAAATCACTTCAAGGATTTATTTGCTGGGGAGCTCGATGTAGTAGCATCAAGAGTGCTCGTTGTCGCCGAAATCACAGCTCTGTATTCATCTCCGAAGCAAATGTCAATGTAGGTTTCACTTACGTCCACATCAACAAACACTTCCATCCGGATCCATCGCACGTAGAGACGTAGATTCATATTCAAGCAAGTGAAAATAGATCCAAACTCACTGAATTGAGTATGAAGCGAAACAGCACATATACTGAATGTACGAATGTGAATGTGATCGTGTTGTAGTGTTTCTGTAACAATATGAGTACGATTGATGCATTGAACCGTAATTTGAAACGTAATTGACTTTGTGATGAGGTCTAAGTCGTCGACTAGTTCAAATCTTAAGTAAGGTCAGGCAAACGATTTGCATATAGGTATGTAGTGATACCGGGAGTAATAAGTAGATCCCACATGAATAAAGTTCACAAGGAAAATAATCGTAATATGGAAGTCTTCTCTTTCAAGTTTCCTTGAAAGCACATTTAGTCGCCTTTGTATTCATCCAATAATTCTTCTGGCATCGTAAACCATATAAAAACTGGTGCAATCATAAGCGTCTTCGATAGTTACCCCGGATCCAAAATCGGGCATTTGAATGATAACCTCCAACTTTGACTCGCCAGTGCCTTCGATGAAACATAGCAGGTTAAGGTTCTTAGAAATTTCTTCTATCCGCCTGGGTTCTTTTCAATGAAGCAGCAACTAAAGCTGGTTACAGTACCTCCATCACAAAGTATTTTCTGATCAGCTTAGTCCATCAAATTAGGTTTAGATTGAGGCGGTCAGTTAATCTTCAGTACATGATCTTAAGACATGGCTGGTCCTACTACACAGGACCAGCCAAGTTTCCTCTCAGTCGGTCATCTGGATTTGAACTCAGTCGATGATCCGAGTAAGCAATTTAGTACATCGTCCAATTCTTGTGAGTACTAAAGCACGAAAAATTCAAGAATGAGAACCGAACCTGCAGCATTCCAGACCACTTCAGCCCATATGAAGAAATTTGCATTCCATAATAACCACAAAGTCTGGTACTTAAAGTCTTCTCAATCTCCCAAGGTGCGAAGATCAGGGGCGTCAAAAGGTTTCTCTGGGCTCCTTCTATTCATTCTGATGCATTCTCTGAAATCTGTCAATATTGTTTGAATGGAACGAATGTAAGTGTGCATATTATGTTACATTTACTTGAGAACCCCGAAACTATCTCTCTTCTATCTCGGTGTAGACCATTCAAGTATATCACGCTTAGTAGACTCTAATTACGTCCACGAGCATACACTACCTTCGCAAACTGGTCTACGTTTCATTCAAATGTTGCTCAACTTTGGTAATACATGAACTTCGACTAATCTACGAACTAAGCAGGTCGTAGAGAGCCCAAGAAACCTGTAAAAGAAAAAGACCCAAGTGGAGTCAATGAAGTAGCTTCTATTGCAAATATTTGACTAGCACCGCTACAAAGACGCAGAGCACAACTACCAGAGCCCGAGTGAAGTATATTTGTGAGGGGTCACGAGTTCTATTCAATTGCGCAATTAAAGATTTCTCATGTCCTTTGTTAAATTTGTTTTTACGTACATCGAGCTACTATAGCTCACGCTTGGGTGCAAGTTTTCGTTGATATCTAATTACAACTCGTATCTTCTGTATTCAAATTCGGATGAAGCTTTCCGTGCATCGAATGATGGATCAAGTATCTATCTGGTTGAGAAGCTTTAGTGTACAGCTTTAGTGTGCTGCTTTGTTAGAAGGTACCTTGTTTCCTCCCAGTACATTACCAAATCTACATCAGTCTTTTAACTATGAATGATTAGAAGTTCCATAACCATGCTGGATGTTCCTTATGATCATTGCTGTCTCTCATCTGACTTTGTCTCTGGATTTCTGGAAATGTCAGGAAGTTGTGGACTCATACTCTGAGAAGGCTTTGGAAATGACGAATCTCCAACCTGCCATGCTTTTGCTCACTCCGTTCAGACAACGCTCCTCGGTACATGGAACTGAGGGACCCAGATCATATTCTTATTACACGTGGGATCAATTTTCTGAGATGAATTTCGATAAGTGAATAAAAATCCTGTTCAAGACCTACTGCAATGAATATCAAAGCATACTGCCTGTAGCAACTTGAAGAAAAATGCCTAACGAATCGAAGAGCATAAAAGACAAAAATCCTCCTACGAACAAGGATGATATATCTTACTCCCGAAGAATTCCAAAGGACAAGCCTCACAACCAGATCTAAAAGGCGCGATAGA